TCGTAATAGAAGCAAAACTAAAACAAAATAAGGAAGTTTGAGAGAGAGAGAGCAAAGACAGACTATTAAAGCAGAAGAAGAAAAAAGAATAGGAAATCACAGAGACTTATTTAGGAACTTATTTAGGATCAATAAATTGCAACCTTTGAAGAAAAAAATTAACAGTTTTTCATATAATTAACAAAGTTATTGTTAAAATCATAAACTACAGTGTAATGTCAGATCTTAAATTGTGTTCATTCTTCCTCGTTTAGTTGTGAGATCAGTGAAATTTGTGAACAGTTGAGATGATGTATCAAAATTGGCTGATCTTTTTTTTTTTTTCTAATTAAAATGGCATTTTTAAACAACGCTATTTTTTTTTATTATTACTAATCAAACTATAAAGTCTGCTTATCTTTTTGTCTAAAAATAGGTTTTAAAATTTTGGTAGGTGTAATAATTTTGAAAAACTATGAAACAGAAAAAATTTTTTTTTCAAAATTACTATTGGTAAATTTTAGCATCTTTTTGTTTCATTTCACTTTTTCGTTTTTTTTTTTTTTTTTTTTATCTCATGGCTAAAAATAATTATCAAATAGTCTATTTAGTAAAGTCTCTGAAAGCTCAACAGATGAAACAGCAATACAATGGTAACAGTTAACAGATCCGCAGTAATCAGTGTAGCACAAAATTTGGTAATTTGTGGTACAGCTGCTGGAGGTGCTGCTGCACTGTCAGCTGCTAGTGGATTTGAAGCAATTGCAGTGGCATTTCGTGATTTCCAAATTTTTCTGCTTGATTTCCTCCCTGGTTGTTTAGTGACTGAATAAAGTGTCGGTTTACCGTCTCGTCTACTTTTGCTGTTTTCATTTTCAGCTAAAAAAAAAAATGAAAAAAATGAAAAAAAAAAAGAGAAGCTAAAGGTAAAGTACAGAATAATACGAAATAAAATAAAAAGCGGAACCGTTATATACGGCGGTGGTTTTCATTGCTTTTTCAAGTTCCATTTTCATTTTCTCTTCCTCTCGTTTTTTGATCTCTTCTATCCATTTCTGCTCTCCACTTGATATTTGTTTCACCTGTGAACCATACTTAGTTGTTTCGGTACCGTTCGCATTTTTTTCTGCAAGTAAGCAAGTGACAAGCAATAAAAATTTTCGTCTTTTTTATTGCATTTTCTAAATTTTTTACCAGTTCAAATAAATGTGTTTTTATCAAAACAACTTGATGAGGAGTTTTCAACACAGCAATAAAGTAGAAAGTAAGACGTGTTTTATAACGATTTTAAAGAGAAGATAATTACCGTCTTCGCAAAGTCTGCCACTGTAATTTGGGTCACATTTGCATACAAACCATGGATAGCCAGTGGTTGGTGTACAGCTTCCGTTGTTGAAACATGGATTTAGATCACACGGCCCTGAAAATTGGAAATAAGAAGCTGTTCTTTTTTGGGAAATCGTATTCTCATTTGACGAACAATATGAAATAAACTACTATAAACAACTTACTTTTATTACATACATCTCCGCCGTAACCTTTTGTGCAAAAACACTGAAAAGCAGTCTTGTTTTCTGCATTGATAAGACAAGTTGCTCCGTTCTGGCAAGGATTTGGGACGCATGGATCGAATACTGTACAAACAGTCAGTATGACTATTGAATAAGCATCTAACCACAACAACGTCTCAAACTTATAAAATTACACATCCTCAAGCTAAAACTTGAAATAAATAGTTTTTGAGGAACAAACCAATTTGCTCTGTACAGTTCTCTCCTTTGTAACCTTTAGCGCATTCGCAGAAAGATTTGTTTTTGTTGAGATCAAAATTACATTTCCCATTATTCTTACATGGATTTTCGTACTCGCAAATATTAAAAATTTTTCCTAAAAAAGACTTCTAACAGAAGTAAACAATATTTTCAGTTACCACTGAATACTAACAAATTAGCAGATGATCTAATTTTTAAGCGCTTTCCGAGATTATTCAGTGTTATAAAAACTGTCATAATGCAGATACTGAATAATGTTTATAAAAAATTTTACGTCTTATCTTTTCTGTAACTTCAATCAATTTTGTTGGAGCTTCTGTGCGCCGTGGCTGCCTGTCTCTCGCAAGTGTCGACTCAGTGACAGACTTTGAGTACGGTTCTTGTTCTACAGAAATTTGCCAATAAATGGGCTATCAGCGTTTTTAAAACTTTTTATTTCTTTGTGATTTTTTTTGTTTTTTTAAGGAATGATACATATAATGCCAGTTTCTAGATAGACGAGAAGCTAGTTTTGAAGTAAAACAAAGATCTTTAGTTGAATTACATACCCCGATTTCTTGAGGGATGTCCACAGATCTCTAAACAAGTTCGTTCATCTCGATACATGTTCTGACTGGTTCCCTTACACCCACTGTACCAAAATGCTTCGCATCGCTATATTCGTGTAGAGAATTCATATGAGAAGTTATCAGTAACATTGTAATAGGGCACAAATGCTAGCTTTGAAAACTATTATTGTGAATCAAAATTCCACACTATTTCTTTAAAAAAGTCTTTTACCTTATTATACTTGTCAAAATAGTATCTTTTCGTCCATGGTCCATTACAATCGCCTCTATATTGCTCGTCGAAAGGTTCAAGACACGTTTCTAAAATAAAGTAATTGATGGTCATCAGTCGTACAAAATTAATAGTAAAATTTCTGAAACAGTTTCGCAATAAAAAAGCTACAGCTACACATATCTGTAAAGTATTCTAATAAAGTTTTTTACATCCAATAATTTGGAGTTTTGCAAAAGAATAAATAACTAAACACTTGATTTATAGGGAATTGGTTCCTCGCAAAGCCACTGGCATTGCAGGAGATCGCTAAAGACGTTGTTTGTGGTTAGGACACATCCATCGTACCAAAACATTTTACAAGTCATTGAGTGGTGATCGAAATAGAATTTTTGTTCCCACTTTTTTCCTAAAATTTATGCTTTTTCTTTTTTTTTCTATTTGTGTTTATACTTTTTTATTAGCATATCTTGCTTTTTTGTCGAACGGTAGCAGCAGTTTGAACAGCAATAACCATTCGAGCGTACCCTCAGAGGCTGTTATTGCTCATTACCGCTAATCGTCAGTTCTCAATATAATTTTGGCGTGTTTATGTCTCAATGACACTCAGACTAGCTAAGTTTTACAGTTTTTATTTATATTAGAGTTATCCTGTTTTCATGAAATTTCATTGTTTGTTTATCTTAATTTGTGGGCTAAATCAGCGATTAGTCAAGAACAAAGCAAGACTTCATGTAATGGCGATACTGCAATTTTATTCAAAAGATAAGTTTATGACCACTAATGCATTGAAAAAAGTTAGGAGGGGCAGTTGGGGGATACAAATTTGGTATTGCAACTGTAGAAGACAACAGCACTAAACTAATCTAAACCTAAAAAATACGTTATTTCTTAATGCTATCAAAGTAGGCTTTGTAACACCGTAATAGTTGATAATTTTACTAACAAAATTATTTCAAGTCTAATAAAGAAAAGATACCTTTTACAAGGCTTAAGTAAGGCAATAATTTAACTTTAAAAAACTTAAAATTTTCGTTGCGCAATTAGTTTTAATTTTGGTAGGCAAAATAGCAGAGTGAAATCTAAACTTTACTGTAGGATAAGTTGCTTTGAAAGGACACTAAACAAAATAATATCTAAACTGACTTTTCTTTTATTTTTATTTTTGGATATTTTAGTAAATATTGCTCTCCTGTAATTGAAATATTTTTTATATAATGTTTCTTTTCATCTATAAACTGTTTTTTGGTTGTTTGGTTGTCTTCTTACGTAAGTTTCCTTCCGTTTACAGACTTTCTTTAATTGCGCAGCCGTGTTTTTACGTAAAATTTCTTGATTTCAAAAGCAGTAATAGTCCAATGACTAGTGGCAATTCAATAAAAACAAGTTTTCGTTTTTCGTAATAACATAATTTTAGCTGAAAATACTTTTAATCACTAAAAATTATTAAGTGTTCTTAGAGAATATAATTACAATGCATATATCCATTTAGTACCGGTCTATGTCAGATCAGTGTTTTAGCATTTTGACATAATTGTTGATCAACCTCTTATAGCTTAAAAAACAACATAAATATCAATAGCTTATTATGATAAGGTTACTGTTAAAAATTTAGGCTTTTTAAAAACTGATATGGTAACAGATCAGAACCTGGTGTTTAAGAAAAAACAAGCCTTTATTTTTTACAAGTTTATTTATAAAATTTTTGATTTTTGAGGCATTATTTGTAGTTTTTTGGGAAATCTAATTGTAATTTAAATTTATATAAGTTTCTGAGTCGAATAATATTGTATCAAATTTAACAAAACCAGTTTGGTTGTTAACTGCAGATGCTTTTAAACCTATTTAATATCAGTGTAATTCTGTAAGATTCTTTCAAGTCGTATAAAGTCTTATACTACGTTTCAAATTGTATGTATGCTTTTTTTTTCTTAGTTTTCTAGCTTCTAAAGACTTTTGTGTCAGAACTGCTCTGCCCAATGTTAGGAACATAATAAAAAAGAAAACCAGATGTTTTTGTGAGACTTTGCTCAACGAGTATGACTATCCAGTTCGCTCAAATGTTGTGGCTTTTCTAGGTCTTTAACAAATGCCTAATTGTTTCGTTATGATAGAATAAGTCGAACACGTTTCTTTATGTCGACGCTTTAACTTCACACTAGCTCATCATACGTTATAATTTTCTTTCTTGTACCTTTGTAATGATGATTAATCTTAGCGCTGTAATAATAACTGAGTAAAATAGCACTTGAAAGTATAAAAGCGATAATTATCAGCAAATTTGCATTGTGCTCAATTCGCGAAACAATTTTGGCAAAATGCACCCCCACGAAGTAAATGTGTTGTCGAAAAACAACGTCAGCGATGGTGAAAACAACAATTTAGGCATTTTGATTTGTCGACCTAAAAAATGCTCTAAGGTCTGAAAAATTCCATTAATAGACCAATAGACTTTTTACTTTTGAGACACTTTATTTTATTTTGTTGTAAAATAAGTATTTTAAAAATAGCATTAAAAAAGCAATAATTAGAAGTTTTTTTATATTATTGTAAGTGAAAAAAAAAAATCAAAATTATGCTTTTAAGCCGTAGAAATTTTATTCTGCTTCTATTATCAGCTAAAATAAAATGGCATTTTAGCCTGTAAAAGAACAAAGATCATTATTGAAAAGTTAGATTGCTGTTGGTAGATCGAAGTAAGTCATTTGTCTTACAGTAGTCAAGTTCATTATTAATAGTCAAAATAATGAATTCTAAGTAAAATGAAGTTTATGGTTGATTAAAGTTTATTTGAAACGCACTTAGACAATAGCTTTCAACTTTGATTATCTGGTAAAAGTGGAAGACTAACTTTTAAAACAGATAATTTTTTGGGCTTTGAATTCTCAAAAACCTGTCTGCTTGAAACATTTTACCAGATTACAACACACCAGAATTCTTAATTGCGATACTCTTGATAGTGGTGCTTATTTAATATCTGTCAATCGTTTTAGAAGCAAAAACCAGTAAAAGACTAGTAATATAACCTTTATAACATTATTCAAAACAATTTTGAAAAAGCTTAATTAGTGTTTATAAGAAAATATTTGACTTTTACGACTTCTGTGCAACCAGCTTTGATTACCAATATAAGAAAAAAAAGGTGAAAAACTTCGAGTCGATTTTAATTGTTGATAATAGAGAGTAGTACAAGTATTTGTATTTATTTGTAAAGCAATAAAGTAATAAATAAAGACCAGTATCTTTCTCAGTAATAAAGATTAATTGTAAGGTCAAAAGTATTTGTGTGAATGAATGATTTTTAGATTTTGTTACATGAAGTTATTTTGTTTTGAAGCATCATTCAAAGTTGTTTTACTTGATTATAAATCGATTATCAGAAAAACTTTAAAGGCGAAAAAGGAAAGAAACAAAAGATAAAAGACTTTTTTTTTTTGCTATTCTTTCAAATGCAAAAAAAAAGAAAAAAAAAAAGATGTAACAAACAAGTATAACCTATTGAATGTGACAGCTTATGGTACTTGTAATACATTCACTACCATTTTCAGTTCAAATAAATTTTTCCTAAGCTCTAAATTTTATCTGTATTACATCGCCAGATAATGATTTTGCCCACAAATAAGATCTAAATAAAAGCACATCTTTTTGCTGACTTTTTTTCTTTCTAATCTGCACAAATGCTCTGTGATAGCGCTTAGTTTCAGCTACAATTTCATACGTCTAATGCACCACCAAAACAACCTAACAATTAAGTGATGGATAAAAATTAAGAAGAAAAAAATTTGGTTGTAGGAAATCAAAAATGATAGCAAAATAAGAAGAACAAAACTAAAAAGCTTACCGTCTCGGCACTGTTCAGCAAATTTTGGCTCGAATTTATCCCAACAAATTTCTAAAGAAAATGCTAGTAAGGCTAGAAGTAAACAGAGCAACAATAAGCGCATAGAAGAAAATGCAGGCGCATTGCACACACTGAGATTGAGCATTGATTGAAAGCGCAAAAAAGCTCCTTTTCTGGTATTTCGGAAGTAGACTCTTGGGAGTTGCAACAGAAAAAAGCGCAACCTTTCACATGGCAAACATATAAT